GACGTCCCATTGCTCTTAAAACTCATTTCCCTGCTTCTCGTGGTTTCCTTGCGTCCCTCCATGCTTCCCTGGTGGGAGGGACTATTCACAGGGAAACGACACAAGTGAGGGACGCAAGGAATCCATTTAACCGAAGTGAGAAAGGCCCCCCCATCTCAGGTCGACTATTTCATTTCCTCGCTCCTCGGTCTCACCGGAAGTTGATTTGTCTGCGCCATCTTGAGTACCGTCCCATAGCTCTTATTTCTGTCGGTGGACCGAGGATCAAGGAGCGAGGAGCGATAATGGAGGAGCGTTAATCGAGGAACCACCAGACCATCCTCCGATGAAACCCTCAGATACTCGCCCCGCCATGCGGCCCTCATGCCATGAGAGCCGTTTCCCAGCGGAGTGAAGAAAATACATGAAACTCACGAGAGTCACTCCTCAGTTTAAACTGTGTTTTGTTTCAATTCATTTATCATTTAGTTACAAATATGTGATATATCTGAACAACAAAGTGGTCAAAAATCATTTTATTCATTTATTGGAAACATTTTCATGATCGCTTTTTTCGTTTTACATTTTCATTTATTGTCATTTCCATTCAGTCAGTCATTAAGTGCTATTAAAATGTTAATGTGCTACATATCCACACAAACAAACAAAGTGTGCAATCCAATGAATGTTAACCTAACTGGGTTTTGAAAGATAATATATATATTTTTCTTCTCTCAATTATTTTATTTCTATTGTGCACTCTAATCAATATTAATCAAACTATTGTTCGTTTATTACATTTTTAAGAATGGCGTTTATCTTTTTTGGAGAATGAGTTCTTATTTGATTTTATTTATTGGGGTCTACAACAGATGATACAAATGTTTGTGTCAGTAAATGTGTGGCAGGGGTGTTTGTGAAAATAACGGGGACAGAGCTGCTGTCAGACGAACAGCTGTGCGGCGTCATCACAAACTGACGTCGCTTCACGTGACGCTCCGGAGGAAAGGACGTCCCATTGCTCTTAAAACTAATTTCCCTGCTTCTCGTGGTTTCCTTGCGTCCCTCCATGCTTCCCTGGTGGGAGAGACGCAGGGAAACGACGCAAGTGAGAGAAGCAAGGATTTAATTTAACCGACCTGAGACGGGGCCACACTCGCAGCTCAACGAGGCTCCCTCCTGTCAGATGGAGGGAGTAAATACAGCGGCAAGCTTTGGGACGGCCTCCCCTCTCTCCGGCAGAAACAGGAAATGTCGTAACTGTATGTAACAACGGTTTCAAATCAGCATCTCTGAGACAACAAATGTAAATTAATAACTCAAATAAAACTCCAAACATATTTCATTGTGTTACTTTTTCGTAAAGCTCTTTTAGTTTTAAACCTGATGTTTATAAGCTTCTTAGTTTTTGCAACAGTCTGTAAATATACACAACTTTATAATAAAATGCACGCATTTACCTTTTTCTAGACTAAACACAGGTATGATCCTAAGTTAAAACATATGAGGCTATCAAGAGGTTGTTAACATCGCAATTTATCAGTGGGTGTTTGCTGGAACTACTTGTAAACAGCGTGTTTCCTGACGGANGTTTATTTATTTGTTTTATTGTAAAATGCCTTGTCTTTTATGCTGCTGCAACAAAAACAATTTCCCAAATTGGGATCAATAAAGTAACATCTTATCTTATCTTATACAATGACACAGATAAATCCTGATGTAGCACATGTGTTTAATTATTAAAAATTTTCTTACTGATGTTTGGGAGGGTCTTTATGCTGTGACATTTGAAATCTTTTTTTTGAACGGGAATACGTTATTAGAGTTGTTTCACTGCTCTCTTGGGTTGTTCGATTTCTGTTCATTGATCACGTGGAAGCACATCTCCAACTAATAAACACGGCCGGAAGAGAAGCTATTGATTTACTGACTTTGATCTCATTTTCTCTTTGCAGATTGAAAGCTCTGGTTTCCACAGGAGGGAAAAACGTGCAGGCAGCTTGTGACTGGTGAGAGCAACACACACTTTATACACACCGTCCCACACGGTTATTAATGCACACACACACCCTCTTGTAATTTTAAATATGACATAAACTGACCTCACCCCTTAACATCGTCACTAACAGTGCTGCCCTCTGCTGGACGTCAGCTGCCCCCCTCTCCCCATTGTTTTTCACTTCTTAACTTCTTTGTTTTTTTATCCAGGAGAACCTTCTTTATTCGTAAATGGATGAACATATTTAGATAGAAAATGACATAACCAATGATTATATACTGTCCTCACTTCAATTGTCTTCCCCTTGCCTCTAAACTGAAAACATATCTTCCAAAAATGCTTCCATCTCAACATTTCTCCAGTATTTTTTTAATTTGTAATGACATGGTGCTTTATAGAGAGGCGAAGTCCCGCCCATCTACTTCCGGTCCATTGGAACTTATTTCGGAAAAATTATGTATTGAAGTCAATGGGGAGAGAAAACGTATCTCTCGATCCCGTTTGAATTGTGCCATGAATTACACATATGATGTTTGTCAATCTTAAAATATTATTTCCATGTCAAAAAAGTCACAGTTTGTCGTAAAACTGTTGAAATATAAGACTATGAAAAATACGCAACTAGAAAGACTACAAATCCCAGAGTCCCGGTCCCGCATGCTGGCTCTTAGGAACCGACTAACTCCCCTTGTGTGTATGTACAGCTCTCAACATGCCCACACTTGGAGTGATTTTCACCTCTTTTAATTATTTTCGCCTCATTCTGAAAGAAAGAAGTGAAATGTGCCAACGTGATGGCCGTCTTGGTGTGGTGTGAGACGGGAGATGTAGTTCATTGAGCGGTTTCACACACAAAAAAAGTGTTTTTATTTTTTTGACTTGCAAAATTATGTTTTGAATTGACAAACATCATATAATTCAAACGGGATCAAAAGATAATCTTTCTCTCTCCATTGACTTCAATACATACTTTTTCCGAAATAAGGTCCCATGGAGGTCCACCGGAAAGGGAGGGACTTCGCCTCTCTATAGAAAGTCAATAACAATTGTGCAATATTAGAAAAAGCCCCACAGTTTGCTAAGCTAATTTATTCCTTATTTATTTAATTTTCTTTTTTTCTTGGTGTTCCGTTTACAATGCCCTCAATTCAATTTCAATACACAAACATTTATGCCTTTTCCTGATGTTTTTGAATCTGTTGTTTAAAAAGGAAAAAAGTCTAAGTGTATATAGGCTTATATATTAGATTAAAGAAATGCACACGATATTAAAAAATATATATAAATGAGAAACAATATGTACACTATGGTAAGAAAATAAGCAGGTAGCAGGTAAGTGAATATATAAAGTATTAAAGGAGCCTTTCATGTTAACAGATTGTAAATAAATAAATAGTTTAGTAAGAAAATGTGTTGTTGTGTGATTTTTTTTTTTGAATAAAAATAAGTGTTCTTGCTCAGCAGTGATGGTACAGTCTGTATTTGTGTTAGTAACTCACTGTCTTCCTGTCCTTGCTCCAGGCTCTTCTCCCACGTAGACGACCCCTTCCTGGACGACTCTCTGCCCAGAGAGTATGTGTTGTACATGCGCCCCAGCGGAGTCCTCCTCCAGCAGCTCTCTCACTTCTGGCAGCAGTCCCGCGTCTCCTGTGGAAAGAACAAGGCCCACAACATCTTCCCCCACATCACCCTCTGCCAGTTCTTCATGGTCAGTGTCTCTCAGTGCTCACATTATAGTATTATAACGTATTTATTTATAGAAGGACCATGCATACAAAAACATTAATCTCAGCAAAGAGAAGAGATGCAGTATGCCAGATTATAGCTAACAGCTAATTTCCATCTGTGGTCCTCAGGTTGGTTTTTTCTCACAGGCATAACATAAATAGGACATACAATGGAGATGCTTACATAACTGCACCTGTTGTACATCAGGGTTCATCATCCATGCCCTCCTTGGACACTAAAAGGACATAACATTTCTTGATGCTATCGATTTTCATATTATGCAAACATTACAAAAATCGTTTTTTGTATGTTTTTTTGTTGTTTTATTCTCTATCAAAGCATCTTTGAGTTTTTAGTAATGCGCTATAAGTGTTGTGGGGGAAACTTCTGTGTAGCAATGCAGGAGGACTCAAAGGAGACACGGGGAGAGCTGGAGCTTTGATGGCAAACACTGATGGGTTTATTTGGAGCTTCGGTCGGAGAATTCACAAAACAAGTCAAAGAGTCAGAGGTTCTGACTTCACAGTAGAGTTGCCACGTCAATTCTGAAGAACTCTACCCCAGACCCATGTCTTTTGCTAGTTCAGAGAGAATAATCAACATGCTGCATAACAAGATAGAATCATAACACCTCTATCAGCTGACGCCAACAGGCAGGAACAGAGAGACACAACACTGAGAGCACAGCAGCCAAGGCTACAGGTGCGTGTGCTCAGTCAGGACAGAACTGATACACTGGGTCAAAGTTATGGGCCTTGGAAAATATTTCCCCAACAAGTGTCATGTATTATTATTATTATTATTATTATTATTATTAACATATTACAGACATTATCACTCCCCCTCATCAACAAAATGATCACACAATACCTGAACCATTATGATAGTAAGAACCAGTGCTTTACCATCTAGATCAGGGGTGTCAAACTCAAGGCCCGGGGGCCAACTCCGGCCCGCCACTTCATTTTATGTGGCCTACAAGAGCTCGCAAATAACATAATCAGTTTATTATAAGGTTACGTGCCGCTTTACAGGAGCACGTTGCCCATAAACTACATGTCCCACAATGCATCTCATTTTGTGAGATGCGCACTGAAGAGACTTGCAATTACTTGCAATTATTTGCCCTAGACTTCTGCTTTCAGACATAGTTAATTATGAAGTTATTACCCTAGATAATAATCCAATGCAGAGGAAATAATGTAAAATAATACATTATTGTATATATATTATGTATATTTATCTATGTATATTATTGATATAGTCTTAAAGTTACCACCGACCCTTTGAGTGCAACCATAATTCTAATGTGGCCCGCGATGAAATTGAGTTTGACACCCCTGTTATAGTGTGTTACAAACCATCAATTTACTGTAATGTTTATCTTGTGCTTGCAAAAGATTAAAGTAAAGTGTTAGAAATCATAAAAACATTTTTGTCAAATTTAGTTTTTACAATGTGTATGTTCCAGTTTGTGTGAATGCAGGTTATTTAGGAAGGTCTGAAGTTAGTCAGTAGGGCAGTGCATATTTTTCTGATTGGCTGCTGTGTTTTATAGAGGAAGAGGAGTCTGAGGAGGGAGGGGAGCAGGACATCATGCACGTTCTGGGCAGCATGGTCATGGCTCTGCTGATCAAATACTGGATCTACATCTGCGGGGGAATGTTCTTCTTAGTCAGCTTCGAGGGAACCATCGTCATGTACAAGATCATCTACATGATGATGTTCCTCTCCTGCGTGGCGCTCTACCAGGTAACAAAACATACCTGTACACATGCAACTAGATGGAAATGTTCCTTGTGATACTCAACACGCTATACAAAACGTAGTTATCTTCACTGTGCAACATTTTGTCCACATCATTTAAAGGGGACCTGTCATGCAAAATGCACTTTGTGATGTCTTTTATACATGAATATGTGTCCCTGGTGCGTCAGGGAACTCACAAAGTGTCAGAAAATAAAACCCTCTTTCTTTTCCTCCGTACCCAAATCTCTAAAAACGGGGCCACAACGGAGCTGATCTAGATTTGCGTCCGCTATGATGTAATATCGGAAATGTGGGCTGGCTTTACACCCACGGCCCTATCAGGAAGTTGCTATCAGAAACAATACCCGACGTGTTTTGGACGTAATATGGTCGGTGTTTACATTAGCATCGCTAACACTCAGAGCTAACCTGTACTGGAGAGAGTATGTGTAAAAAAGCAGGAAATAAAAAAAGGAACTCACCTTGTGGTATAACCGGCAAGAACGAAAGCCTTTGAGCTCCATACTGTTTCAGAAATAATCCTTGATGTGGTTTAGAACATGGTATGGCATTTAATCACGGCAGCATTTAGCTGTATCTCCGTAGAATTCTGAGCAGGCACAAGCTCCCCTTTTCTTTTCAAGGTAAGGACCCCAAATCCGCGTTTCTCTAACAGGGCTGGAACAGAGGGATATGAGGGATGTCGAAAATGCATGATCTGTTTGGTATTTTGAGCAAAACACATTATAGACATGTTCATTATACTGTATATTTGTATTTATCTGAGACCCATAATATATGCCTAAAAATAGCATACTATAATAGGAGACCTTTAAACATACTCTGTATCTTCTTATTCAAGCGCACAAATTAAAACAGATAAGATGTTTATTGAAATCCTTAAAAAACGTTCTGATCTGTCTGACCTTAACACATTTTCAAATATACCCTACACACTTCCAAAAAGTCTCTTTCATTTCCTAAAATCTTTATCTTATAAGTCCTTTGAAAACAAAGTGGTGTTTTACTACTGAATGTGTAAATAACAAGCATCTTGGTATTACAAGTTTGAATATGGATAGGAACACTGTAACGTTTCCAAAAATTACATTTCCCAATTACAGAAGCTGCTGACATTTTTAGTATGCCATAAAAAGTGTGTGTACATAATCCACCCTGTATTCACAACGCTTTTATAACTACTGGAGTCAAAACAAAGCAGTAACCCTACATCCAGATGTTTTCTATGATACATTTCGTGCATTAAAGCTGTTAACTTCTGAGAATTCATCACCCCGATAATCACAATTACTCCTGTTTAGGTGCACTATGAGTGGTGGCGGAGGATCCTGAAGTACTTCTGGATGTCGGTGGTGATATACACCATGCTCGTCCTCACACTGGTCTACACCTTCCAGTTCAACATCTCCCTGCCTTTCTGGACTGATCGGCTGGGAGTGAATAAACAACAGTGAGCTCCTCAGAATAACCTTAATTATAGGCACACTGATATTTGAATGTTATAAAATAAACACAGTGACATAGAATAACATTTCAGGGAGTTTCATATTCTGTTAGTAGCTCCAACACACAACGTTTTAAAGACTGTCCTCCGCTCTCAAATGTTAGTGGTTTGAAACATTTTTCATGGTGAGAAGGTGAGAACAGAAAGCACTTCCTGCAAAATAGAATAAACTCAGTTATGCAAATTCCAAAGATTCAAAGTCACAAATTCATGAGAAAAAAAAGAAGAATTTGTTTTTTCTTGACATTTTTTTAGGGGTTATTTTATTGTAAATTCCCCAATTGCATTTCAGAGAATATCCAAGCTATTTTACTTGGATATTTCTGACTTAAATGTCAGAAATTCAGATTTTATGCCAGTGTATTACCCCCTTCCCCAACAGCATGTCTTTTTTTTTGCCCTAATTCATGTAAAACGCTATAACCAAGAATACGTTGTATGAACTACTGTAGGTGTCTTCAGTTCAAACAAGTTTAGGTAAGTGAAGCAAAAGGTGATAAGCAGATTTCTTAGCCCGGTCTTTTTTCATTTTTCTGCACATGGTATTTTACAAGGTTATTGGTCATTGTATATTATAAGAGTAGCACTACAGAAACCCCTATTGTATATCATCCGGCAATGACAACATATTCATTCTCTTTATAAACTTTCATTATTGAGAGTATTTTTATTTGTTTTATTAACTTTCTTTTGTTTACCTTTTATCATCAATCATTTGAAAGCGTTCATTAATGAGAAGTTTTACTCACATATACTGCAAAAACAGATATAAGCTCATATGTTTTCTCCTGTTTCCTCTATTTTTTTTCCCATCATGCAGCTTGAAGGACCTCGGCCTTGAGCAGTTCGAACTTACCGTTCTGTTCACCAGGATTTTTACTCCCACGTCCTTCCTGCTGGTGTGTATTCTCCACATGCACTACTTCCACGACCGCTTCCTGCAGCTCACAGACCTCCAGGCTGTCTTGGCTAAAGAGGAGAGCACGATCTACAGGTGAGACGCGTTACGTTTGTTACGTTAGGTCCAAAAACTCATTGAGAAGTTGACTTTTCTTTTGTAACTGGTTGGTATAGGTTCATACAGCGAAGTAAAATAGCCCCACAGGCTAATAATCAATCAGTTCTTATAGTCGCTTTATATTTTATTATACATTGGTGTTCAGAAGTAGGCCATTGGTTTGATCTCTTTATGACTGTTTCTCAATCAGATGGTTATGTTGGATTGTGTTCGTTGTTCTCGCGTCCAGGAGAGAAGTTAAAATAAAGAGACTAATGAAAAGGTTCAATTTGGTACTTTAATTAAGTAGCGTGGTAATGAAACAAACAGAGGAGTAGTGGAGACATCAGCTGTTGCCTCGAAGTGGTTACGTTGGAAAGAGAGCGAACAAGACTCGCCACCTATCTATGGCCCCGTCTCAGGTCGGTTAAATGAAATCCTTGCTTCCCTCACGTTTCATTCCAAGAAGATACAAACTTGAGGAAAACAGAATCATATAAGTACATCAGGTTTCATAGAGCCAAACATTTCAAGTGCTACTGCGTCTAGTCCCTCCCACCAGGGAAGTACGGAGGGACGCAAGGAAACCACGAGAAGCAGGGAAATGAGTTTTAAGAGCAATGGGACGTCCTTTCCTCCGGAGCGTCACGTGAAGCGACTTCCGTTTGTGATGACGCCGCACAGCNTTAGCATTATTAGCATTAGCATTAGCACCAACGGAGAGAGACTAATTTATCGCCGACACCTCCTCATCTCCACCGCTCCCATGTTTTATTTTGTGTTGCCATAAATTAGTCTCTCTCCGTTGGTGCTAATGCTAATGCTAATAATGCTAATGCCAGCAAATACAATGGCGGCTTCACAAAACTTTTCAGAGTTTTACGGGGCGTGGTTTGCAATTCGCCCAGCCAATAGAAATTGGAACTTTTTTCTCCCCAGGAAAGTACCAGCTCTCTAGCAAAATCCCAGGAGCTATCGGAACTAAAAGGGAAAAGTACTCCGGTGTGAAAGCGCCTTATGGGTGTTTGCTTTCATGTTGAGGGTCAGATAAATAGATCACTGTCATGACGTTAATATGAAGCTGAAGTCAGGAGGCGGCTAGCTTAGCTTAGCGTAAGGAAAATAAACGTTGGAACAGTTAGCTTAGCTCTGTCCAACGTTGGAAAGCACCAACACCTCTAAATCTCACAACTTAATGTAAGCCATCTTTACAAAAGCACAAGTATAAAAACAAAAACTTGTGTTATTTTAAGGGTTGAGAGAGACTATGTTTTGGTCTGGCGCTGTGATTTTGTGGAGTCTTCTTGTCACCGTGAGGTTGACATGCTAGTGGTCATTTATACTCTTAGACAGTTAATGTGTTAGTGAGATGTATATACAATATGGTCCCCTTTGGACTGAGCTGGAGTTAGTGATTCACTCAGCTTAGCATAAGGACTGCAAACAAACGGAACAGACTCCAGCTCCATATTTAACGTCAGTGGTTTCAATCCTCTCATCTCCTTGCAAAATAAGGAGCTGGAACTTCAATCCAACATATTGACTTTCACCGTCCGTCGCATGTGAAAATTGTCTTAGCGACTGCCAATAAACATGGCGTGACATTTTTCAACTTGTTTCCTGGGAATGTTGTATAGCTAATGTTCCCACTAGAACCATGTCAGAAGTCAAGATGTATCAGTCGTGTTTTGCAAGAAGCGTGTTACGAACTATACTGCCATTTGTAGTTAAGTGGCGACCTCTAGTGGCTGCTGTAATTATGACAAGAGCAAGTTAGCAAATTAGTCGTCGTATGAAAAAGGCATTTCGTAGGAGGGACGTGTGGTTGGATTAATTGGTCAAACGAATACAGGACTTTTACCCCGAATGGCTGAGGGGTCAAAAGAACTTAAGGTAGAGCATAACTTCCTTAAGTTTGTCAGAACATATGTAAGATATTATTAACGTTGCATGCTTATTTCAACTAAGACCTTGATCGTTTGTTGCTTGAACATAACCAAGAAGTTCAGCTTCACACCGCTAAATAGAAAGGTAACTCTATTATATTTAACTTTGAACAATCCTGTCAATGATGCAGAAACAATTGTTGTTTTTGGGAGTTATCCATATTCTGTCTTTTGGTTATGAGGACGTGACACACACACAGGAAATTGGATGATATTTGGTGGTTAAAGTGCATGTCTGATCCTTCCACACATGGCTGCACGTGAGTTGATTAATCAACCTGACACACACACACACACACACACACACACACACACCGTGTCCACCCCTCCAGCCATTAGCTCAGTGATGTTGGCTTTGATGAGGTCCAAAGACAGCTGTCCTTTCTCCATGAGTTGACCCAGAACCCCGGTGTACCGAACTCCAGCTGTTCCGGCCCCGGACCCCTGAGCCTGTGAGGAAGACATTCGTCGGTACCCCTTCTGGATCCTTGCCTCTGCTGGAAAAAGATGAGAACAAGATGGCACAAAAGTCAGAAAATATGGTGAGGTAGGATATTGAAACAGATTGAATTGAGTCAAGCATCCTTCACATTCAGTTCCTGCCTAATTACTGGGATAATCTTTCAGGCATCGCTAATGATTTTTCACTTTTCCCACATGCAGACATTCAGGAACATTTCCGTTTTGAGCCTTTTAACACATGCCATGGCAGTGCTGAAACAGATTGGGCCAAAGGCAGTAAAGCAGGCTTGAATACCACACTTTTGGATGCCAACCCTAATAAACCTAGCAGAAGACAAATAAGTAAGGGCAAGGTTGGAGGTACATAAACGTTTTAAAGATAGACAGACACAAACTAAATTAAATCAGTGCTTGTATTGTGCCTACCATGGCTGAAGATGTGGTCCCATGCGTTGGCGTGCTGAGTCCACAGGGGCGCGCCGATGCGGAGCAGCAGGCGGGGGGGCAGGTACAGGAGAGGGGGGGTTGTTGCCAGCATTCGCTCCACGGCCCAGATGAACTTCTGGGACTCCAGGGAGGGAGATGAGGAGAAGAGGCCAATACGTTCTCCATAGAGCACATGGCAACTGGCTGCAGGGGGAGGAGGGGAGGTGGGGGTGAGGGACATGTGTGTCAAGGTATGCAAACAAGCTAAGGCTAAAAGAGGTTGAAAACACAGTTGAATTTCTTGAAATAATAATCTCAAATAGCGTATAAAACCTACAGACTAGTTTTTGAAATGCAACGCTTGAAGGATTACCTGGCCCCTTGGGTTAAAGTGAAGTAAAGTTAAAAAAAATGCTTGAGGAAAGAACTTTTTCTGTGTTTTTCAAATCCAGTTCCACACAGAGAGACAATTATGTTTTTGAGCGCATACCTTGTCTCGGAGGAACTGCCTCTCCTCCATCCATCAGCTATGAGACATGCTTGTATTATATTAACTTCACATCACTGACTGGAATAGAGTTTCTTGCAGCTCTATTCCTATCCTGGCTTAACACCTGGCTCCGTGTGGAGCGGTCCATTAGGAGCAGACTAGCATGACTCAAAGTGATCAACTCTCCCTCCTTCACTCTCTGTATGTGTCTCTGACCACTTATATACACACACACACACACACACACACACACACACACACACACACACACACACACATACATACATATGAGTCACACTGAGTCACACAAGCATTCAGACTTGTGAATGTGACGTGTTGTAGATGAAAGGAGCAGAATGCGGGAGCTTTGATCGTCTTTGTTGGTGTTTCTATTTTTAAAGGTGCGTGTTCTCCTGGACCTCCCACATCTATAATATGTTAACAACAGATATGCCTCGGGTTAAAATAAGGTTTGATTCTCATGAGAGCTGAGAATATTTTATAATTAAAAGGAAAAAAAAAGTCGCAATGAGAGATTAACAAAGGCCAGCAGATTTTGTAAAAGAGAATTTGTTATTTGATCATTTGATAAGCTGTCACCTACGTCAGCATTTGTGATTTAACTTGGCTAATAAATAGAGTGAATGAGAGCCAATCTAAATGGGGAGATGACATTTATCCAAAACCATCCCCTACCGAGGATGTTAATGTCATGACAAATATGTATGAAATGCTCACCAAGACAGAAGGAGTCAGCATTTTGTGGAGTTGATGAGTTGACATGTTCCCATGTAAACGTTTACTGTGCAATCAAACAAAGAAGCTGCAGGTCACAAATCACTGACCTTCCAGTGCAAATCGGAAGAGGTCAGGACTGGGGTCCACGGTCAGACTGCGTTTCCCCCCCTCGATTCTGCCCTCCTTCCCCACTCTCACTTGCAGCATTCGACTGAAGTCCCTTGCAACCTCATCAAGCAGGGGCAGGAAACGCTTTACGGGCGCACTCATCATCACCTCCCTGTTGAGGATCAGGCGATCAGCTCGCCACTCCTCACCGTTCCTGTGAAGAGAAGAGTTAAAGGGAGCATATTAACCTGGTTCACTTCCTGATTCTGAAAACAGTATACCTTTCTCAGCAGATGTGCTGTTCAGTTACTTAAATACTTCTTAAGTATAGAGGTTCTGGTTCCATATCAATGTCTGTTTCCTCTTGGGTTAAAATATTTTTATCCTGACATGTATGCATATTTCTACAAAGAAAAAACTTGTGCAATCAAAATATTTGAAAGATGATACAATCATATCTATATTATGTGTAGGAGCTTTAAAAACTAGAGCAACAATTGATAGCAGAATACTTTACAGAATCAGAATGATTGAAGGACAAACAGAACATTTGCAAGATGATGATGGCACAAGTGATTTCATAAATGGATACACACTCAAAACACACACACACACACACACACAATGAAAACCTTCATACACTCATTCTCGTTAACCTGTCTTCTTGCATATCCATGACTATGAAGTCCCCAAAAGGTTGAAAGTCCCCACAAAGTGACTGAAACAGACATACAGTGTGTAAACATAAGTTGAACCGAGGTGTGTGACTGACTTGAGGAAGACTCCCTTGCTGAGCTGCCGTGTCTCTCTGTGAGTTGCCCAGGGCTGCAGGGTCATGCGTCGGGGGTGCAGGCCCTCAGAGCGGAACAGCTCAGCAATGTCCATCGGCAAAATGATGTTCACACTGCTCTGGGTGCCCACATGCTCCCTAAACAGACACAGAAACACACACACAAACAGAAAGGCTATGGTGTTAACTGACATGTATTACTTTTACATACATATATTAGAAAACAACTCAAGGGTCAATGACACGCTTAGGGAAAGGCCATCCTGTCTTCCTGCTACCTGTAGATGGGGCCGAGTGCTTTGAAGGTCCTCTCCATGTGTAAGTGAAGATGCCGTAAACGGTCTTCTCTCCAGAACTTCACCAGGTTGACCCAGCCACTCCTGCCTGTGTGAGGGATCTCCTCAAAGCTCCTCACCCGTCCTTCCACACCCTTCTTTCTAACTCCAGTACTCTCAGCTGATTTTCTGCCCTCCAGCTTCCCATGTGCCACCGTCCCTGCCGCCGCCATGCTGAAAGCTCTCCGAGGTGCGACGCCACAGAGCAGATTTCTGGACCCGCAGGTTTGCTGTGCTCCGACACACACAGTCACTCGGATGTTCATCATGCTCCTCATGGTCCAGACGAGATGTGTCCGTCGGTCTCATTCAGAGTTGTGACTCCGCTCGTTGTTGTCAATTATTTCCCAACTTCTACCTCAAGCTCATATCCTTGAATGTGCTCCATTGCTCTGATGAAGTGATAGCGGACGATAATTTATGGATGTAAAGATCAGAGTTCAAGAGAATCACAACAAAGCCCAAATGTCAGAGTGATCCCGAACACACAATCACACAGACACACAAAACCCATAAAAGAGTGAGTCCAGCTGGTCAAAAAGGTCTTTATTACAAGTTTGTTATCACAGCTAATAAAACTAAAAGTGAAACGAGCATGACTAAACTCATCGAGAACCGAATAGCTTAAAACTGTGCTCATAAACGTTAAAGAGAAAACATGTACATACATGTGATATAAGTCAACAATTATCAGAGAGACAGTAAAAACAATTCTCAGCTAATAATAAAAATAAAATAAATGTCATTGTGTGAATGTGTGGTAAAATGTGAACATGTTGCCCTGAGGTCCCTTACTTGTGAACAGATCACTCGCTTGGATCTATAGCCTATCATTAAGACACTAGCTTCTAGATTATATAATACAAAATATATTAAAGTAATTATTATAATGACCAAAAAAGTCTCTAAAAGGGGTGGAATCGTGATCGACCCTTTTATAGGAACTGTGAAAGCCTCATTACGCATGAGTCCTTTTATGAATCACTTGTGAGGAAACTTTTACTGATTGATCAGATTTATCTTCTTCCCACCCACCTAAATTAATATTAATATTTCATATGATAGAAAATGATCAGGTATATTATTATTGCTAAAAAAAAAAAGACAAGAGGGAAGTAAAATCTGAAATACATGTTTATGTGTAACAGGATGATTGTGTATTGCTGCTGAATGAGTTGGTGTGTATGAGGGTCTCCTCTTGGTCCCCTTCACTTACACAACGAGCAGGCGGTATTGATCACATGACCATACAGGTTGTTGCCGTAGGAGTGGACATCTTGCTGTGCCTCCTCTCTGTGAGCGCGGCCGGGCCGAAGCTGAGGCCTTGGAAGGCGCTCAGCAGGTTGAAGCCGTCGTCCTTGGCTCTGTTTTCAGGATGAATGATCTTCGACAGCTCATGGGGGAGCGACACCTTCCCTCCAACAGGCCTCAGACGGTTTGTGTCCTTGCGGCTCTAATTATGACAAAAAAACAGGAAAAATAATAAGAAGAAGAGGGTTAAAAAGTCTGAACATGACGACAAATAAGGACACGATGACCTTAATTCACTCTTTAATCCATTACTTACACCCATGGTACACCAATACAGCAAAGACAAAAATAACTAATATGTCCACAGCTAAATGTTACACAATTGTACACCAAATCAGGATTATAACTGTTGGGTTCATCGAGTTGAAATTTGTTAAAAAAACTATGTAAATTATTTTTCCAAACCGGGAATAAGTACAATAATCTTGTTAACTACTTAACTAAAACAGTAAGTGCTAAACTACCACAGATACATAACTTTTTCATTTAATCATGTGTTAACATTATGCCTGGATTATATTGGAGATAATCAATAGTGGACAATTAGTTCATGTGGTATAAGATATGTTGGACCAAGACATTTCTCCTGCGCTAATAGAGAAACTAAAGTCAGACATAATTGCTTTTCTTGTTATATTACAAACATTAACGCAGACCTCAGACAGCTGATATTTCTTTCTGAATTGAGCTCTCATCGCTGCTCTCTCTGCGTTCTTCTGAGCGTTCATTGCTTCCCGCTGCTTTCTGTAAACACAGGAAACAAGAACACAAAGACACCTTACATTTTACAGGCAGAAGTAATTAAATCAACTTCTCTGTTGGAGCAGTGACTTTTCTATGCTAATTAACTCAATTAATTTAGACTGCCTTGTCTAATGAAATCTAATGGAGACAGCAGCAGATGACAACATAATGAAAATAACTTTTAATTGTTTGGTTTTGTTGCCTTAAGGAGAGGGCATGTTTTTGTATTTCTACATTGTGTGTCCACTTGCCTCTCCTTCTCCAGGTCCTCATTGTACGATTTAAAGATTGACGGGTCTTTGGTTTTGGCCTTCTGGAGATGACGGCTCCTCCTCAACCTGCTGCCTCCTCCTCTTCCTCTCCAACCTCTGTTCCACCTGATCCTTGGCTTAGCACACAACCTCCTCCCCTTCACCCCCGACACACAGCTGGTCATCATGCTGAGGGGCTTCTTCAGAGACTTTTTCACACTACTCAAAGACTGCATGATGCCTGTAGCTCTGAGGACAGTAGGGGACGACCACACCCTACTTCTCTGACAGACGACGGGTGAATATCTAAAGTTTTTCTCCTACACTCATGTTTAGGGTGAACTCAGGACACACAAGATCTGATGTCTTGTGGCGGCAAGAAGTTTGAGACCTGCCAAGGACAAGGTTCAGACACGCAGACTGAGTGAACACATTCATACACACTTGCAGTGTAACAAATGTTAAATAAAGATGAAGTGTTTTTCATAGAGGGAAGGGAGGTACTAAAAGAGAAATATGGTCACTTTAAAGGGACAAAAACAGACAAACGTCAGACTCAAACATAATCTACATATTCCTCCTTCAGGCCACTAAATATCCACCCGATCAAAATGTCCATACATCGACAGTTATCTTACCCATGCAGGTGGTCACAGTTGGCCAAAGGCTCACAGAGAAAATCCTGGTAAAGCTCCAGCCAGATGGCCTCCACTGCAATCAGACAATCCCCCGACGCTTTAGAAAAGAATAAAGTAGAAACAAAAAAACTCTCCACTAGAAGTTGTTTTTGTGTTTTGTGACCCTAACTGAAGTAAATCACTGTTTTATTTACCAGGTTTCAGCCTTTGCTTACTACACTCGTCGACACCACGCAACCCTCCTGAACAGACTACCACTTAGAGGATTTACCGAGGGGAATCTCGTTAGCGTTGGCAGGTAATGAGCGACTAATGCCTTTGTGATGAAGATTAAGACGTGAGCTGTTGTCATGTTGAGTGACACACACATGGGTCCTAGGCTTGACATCAGCGTTGGTCCTGTGGAATTAGAGTTCTCATGGTGCTGCGTTATCTGCATTTTGTTTTGTATTTAGAAGAAAAGCAATACATTTAGAAAATAGTATTTAAACTCAGCCAACCAGAAAGCTATTCAACTTCAACAGATTCTTCTCAAGATATGTTCAGTTCCTTTCAAAAGCGCAATCGGTATTTGGCTGAGTTGGTATTCAGAGATGAAAGTTTCTGAGAGGAAATGAAACAAAGCGGCTCCTGGAAAGAGCGAGTCTGGCCTGAGACGGCAGCATATAAATCACTGAGAGATAAGAGAGAAGTATTAACAACTGGACCCAAAAAGTGCCCCAACAATTGAGGAGAGAGTGACAGGTTGAGGTCAGACTCTCCAAAATCTCCATCAAACAACATCATTACAATGCTCAGGCTTCTTCCTTTCAATCCCCCTCTTTTTAACCTTACTTTATCAATAATTTCCCTCTAAAAATCCTTATTCATCAATTGTCTGACTTAATTAATTGGTTTTGTTATTGATTAATTGCAGTTTGCAGATGTGTGCCTTTTATTAAAAGGGAGAAAAGAGTGAACACTATTTTACTTTAAGTTTGTATAAGTACCAATAAATGATGTATGTTTTATGATGGTATTCAATATACCGTAGTTGTAAGCTAATGAAAAACAATCAACAAAAATAATGGATAACGTCTCCTAAGAAGGATATTTTATTGTAATGTTTTACATAGTTGTCTTTTATTCTAGTTGGTTAAATTAAAATGTAATGAAGCATTTAACATGTGTATACAGCTGATGAATGACTGAAGTGTTACCCATGACATATTTTCTGTGTTGTGAATGTCTTTAATTGAGTCCCCTTGGTGAGATTTGTTTTTATGACCTACCCCACTGCCTTATTTAGCACACACATGACCTCTGAATATTTCATCCAACCCACTTCCAGTCCCTCAAGCTCTTGTTTACCTCTTACCCTTTCCTTCTGAAGGTGAGATGAGGACGCTTTAATGCTTTAACAAGATCACAGAGAAAAGCCACGCCTAATGTTCACTGACAGATCTGGGATCAGTTCACTCGAGCAGCGGCCCTGTGTCAGGAGTATTTCTCCACAGGTGGGATAAACCGAGGTCGAGCACATTAACAACCCTACGTCCTAAATATTTAGCTAAGTTGTATTTCTCTGACAAATCACAAACAGAAACCATACCTAATTGATGTAAATTATTAACTTACTCATGCTGACACACACACACACACACACACACACACACACACACACACACACACACACACACACACACACACACACACACACACACACACACACACACACACACACACACACACACACACACTCGTTGCTAATGCACAAATTAGTTAGTTAATACTACAAATACCAAATGTACCTCTCATAATAATACATTAGCATAATTACCTGAATACTAAAGCATTTGAATTGATTGCTTTACATAAAACCCATACTGCATGACTATCAGGGGATTCACTCTTGATTTTATATAAGTTGGATACAAAATCTTCCTTTTTCTCATGCGTGTTAGGACCTAACACAAATGAATCTAGAACAATCAGCTGTCAATGTGTTGTTGATAAGTTGTACTTAGATCTGTATATAATGTTAAACCTTTTGTTTAGTAACTAAGTTACACTATTGAGAGACAAGTAAAAGGGATTATGTCAATGCATTATCACACATACACACAAAGAGATATTGAATATTAACACACACACACACACACACACACACACACACACACACACACACACACACACACACACACACACACACACACACACACCAGAAATAAGGGCCCATTCATTCAAACACACATTGACTGACTAAGTCTCTCATCTCTGCCAAGGCTGGAGAGGAAAACTGGCGAGCACACACACTCTCTCAGCCTTGTGACCGTGCTCTCTGCTGAGCTGCACTCCATCAATGTGTGTGTGTGTGTGTGTGTGTGACAAATGTATTAAACTACTGAACAAGTAATTTCATACACATTTTATTGAAAAAGAGACAGAAATAATTGTTATAATTTGACAAACTAAAAATATACTTTCCATTTCTTACATTTTTGTATCTATATCCTCTAAATTTTAGAGATACTTTTATTTTGTTTACATTTTGAAGAAGGCTACTCATTTACTTGCATGTGAGGATCAGCAGGTTTAAGCCCATTTACTTGCATTCTTGTATATTTATTTCCCACAAAAAAGATTTGTGAACCTATGCTGCTTTTTCCACTGTTAAATTCAGTTTGATACAAAAATATATTAGCAGATTGTTAAATATGTTCGGTAAAAATCAAGTAATGCAAGTTACATTCTTGTTTCGATGAAACACAGTGCCCTTTTCTAAAATCAATTTGCACTTATCTGTGTTAAAATGCAACAATATTACATTGAAAAAAGAAAAGAAAAATCACCTTTTAAGAAAGTCTGAAACCGTTGAGCCAGTATCAAAAACTGGTTAGCATTTGAAGGGGTGCAAAACCCTTGTGTTTCACAATGTTTAATCTTTCTGATAGACAAATGTAACTGTCTTGTATTTCTTTGACTGCTTTCACTAGCAGCACTTTTAGCTAACTGCGCCCAAACGGCAGACAAATATGAGCTTAATGGATCATTTAGCAACGAAGGAGTAATATATTTTCCTTTGGATTGGGTGGAGACCAAAAAGACAGCTTAATGGAACGTGACTTTTGTGCAGTGTTTCCAACACTTAAAAAATGTAAGTAGCGAGCATTTGCTGCAAGATGTAGCTGACAGACGACGTAGTAATCCTATTTGCATATTGGCAACTGTGCATTCATCTGCACATTCTGAGTGGTTATGTTGAAGCGAGAGAAGACTTATTGCACATGGAGAGAAAGAGAGAACCCCTGTTAAGTTGGCAGAACAGTCAGACTGCTATTACTAATGACTATTTACCTTAACGGTCTAAATAAATGGTTACTTTTTAGGGACTAAAAATCAGCCCGGACATCTCGACTGGCCCACTTCTGTACTAATTTACGACTAGTAAATTGTCAACAGTGGGGGGGGTGCTACTGACTTATCCGACCGGCCCACTTGGGTACCGCTAGTAAATTGTCAACGGGGTGCCCACATCGTCCGACCGGACCACTTCGGTACCGGCCCATCGGGATTCGTCCCGAACGTCCCGATGGCCAGTCCGCCACTGGTCCTCAGGGTCTAGGGTCTGTTCAGGGTCATCTGCTCGTATCACAGCTGTTCCTCCAGACGTGGCTCCGTCCTGGATGAAGGAGAGGCAGGAAGAAGGGGTGAGACAGGGCGGAGGACAGCGAGGTGCGTGTCGATGGCTTGTACTCCAGCATCCTCTCCAAGAGGAAGAAAAACTGGTGGTGCTCTGTCCCGTGTGAGGACAGGTACTTCTGGAAAAGGCATAGAGAGAAACAAGTCATAAGGGTATAAATGTACTTAGCATTTGTAAACAAACAAACTAAAACATTTGTATTGGTTATAACCCACGTGATGTTATTTTTCACTGTTGTTTTGAATTATAATTTGATTTCTCTCTCCCTTTTCTAATAGTTATAATTGACATGCATTATTAATTCATACTGGTCGTTGTTGCTGTAGTATTTACATTTGTATTCCTACTTATTCATGAGTTTACATGTTTTATCCAAGTGTCTCCTAATTGTGTGTCTGATTTTTTTTATCTTTAGCACAATCCATATCTTTTTTGTTGCAGCATAGCATAGCTCCACATCATGCCGAAAGGTTGTGCTTCAGTGTGGAATGAAATGTGCTTGAACAAAAAAGTTTGTTTGCCCCTGCCTCTGCTCACCCTTAATGGTTTGCACTTGGCTTTCACATAGCGCCCGGCTTTGGAGCCCTCGTTCCAGTCGAGACGCCCACGGTGGAAATACTTCTGCTTTCTGTGAAGAAGAAAAAAGTGTTTGAAATGGAGTGAATTTAGTTTGCATGTGCGTTTGTGCAGCAGTGAAGAGGAGTGTGTTACCGAGTTTCCTGTATCATACTCTGAGGAAGTGGTCCCTGTATGCTCTCCATCATAGCAAGATGCTCCTTGTTGTCATGAGTCTAAAAGTGAAGATAATCATGTCAAAAAGATACAGAATTAACTATTTGTATCATGCTGTCATTTTACTAATATAATCATACATGTGACCTGGTACAGTGTGAAGCCTGCGTAATATTCAAACAAGATGCAGCCGATGCTCCACACATCACACGGGTGACTCCAACCCAACTCTGTGGGAGAGGGAAGGGACAACATGTTCAAAGATAAGAACAACTCCTGGGTACTCCGTGATTATTATATTATCCACATGTCTCACCCAGAATGACCTCTGGAGCTCGGTAATGACGCGTAGAAATGACGGTGGAGTGGTGCTCGTGGTCAAAGGTGGCGCTGCCAAAGTCGACCAGCCGCACTGTGGTGTCTTTTATTCTCCGGTCGTTACACTTCTGGAGGAAGACAGAAAGGAAACAAGCCAACAGTTTAGCCAGATCTAAAGGACTAAAGTTAAACTGTGCACACATACACTATGCTACAGGAACAGATTTACTACTCTACAAACAATCCAGCTGCTAAACTTGAGCTAATGACATGTGACCAACCTGTACTTCAAGCCTGTATACATGGGAAGCTGTCACGATCTGTCTGTGTTGTGTTCTGTCTTTGGTTTCCTGTTTTATTTTGAAAAGTGTTCACCCCTGTCTTGCCTGTTGCTTCCTGTCTGTGTTCCCTCTTGTCTGATTACCCGATTGTGTTCACCTTGTGCCCCTGTGTTTTCTCTTCCCTCCTCACCTGTCTCTTGTTTCTTTGATTAGTCTTGTGTGTATTTAATTTCTGTTTTTTCGGTCTGTCTTTGTTAGTTCCTTGTGTGTCTTGAATATGTTCACGGGGAAGAGTTCCGTTTTGTTTCCATGTGACCTTGGAATAAAGGTGTTTTTCTGCGAAATCTGCATTTGGGTCCTGCCTGCTTCGCTCAGCCCTGACAGAAGCTTTCCTAAGTTAATGCCGTTAATACATGAAAGTTAAATTACTCTCATCTCACTCTCACCAGGAAAGTGAAAAGGCCCTCAGCATTTTTCCCAAAATGTCTAACTTTTATTGCATGGCTCACCAGAGGTGTTGTTACAACCTTTAAAAGGGAAATGTATGCTTATTTTCAGGTTTCATATTTGTATGTTGAGCCTCGACTGTGACATGTTTACATGCTTTAATGTTCAAAATGTGTTTNTGTTGTTTTTTCTCATCCTACCTCTTTCCCTGAGTCTTTCAAGCTATATTGTCGGCGCTCAAAGATCTCACCAATTAC